CTTTTATCCTTACACAGCACCTTGATTTTTCTATGCCTGTTGTATCGCTTGCTTCTATTATTGTCACCCACCCCATCTCATATGTAATTTATTTTCTGTATGTTTGCCTTTTTAAGCACACAGTAGTATGCATGAGTTACTTTGTGATTGATGTCATAGTTTGAAAGTAAATGCCACTTATCTCCCTTTTTTGGCCTTTATGTTGACAAGGATTCAATGTGATTGTTTATTTGCAACTTGTTGGTTAGTTATCTAGCTCGAGGAACATAAAATATCACGTACATCCATGCCTGTGCTTGTCCTGTTCTTTTCTTCTTCCTTATCTTTGGTGCGTCTTAAGATCATTTGGGCTGTAAATGGCATTATGCTTCTTCAAATCAACTGGGTAATAAGATGCTCTGCAAATAAATATTCAGATCATCCTTGGATGAGAGAAGATGGGGATGCATCTGATAAGCCACTTGATATTGCTGTTCTATCCAGAATGAAACAATTCCAGGCAATGAACAAGCTAAAGAAAGTAGCTTTGAAGGTAAGTTATCATTTGTCATCAATCTTGTCGCAAAACTATTTATCATTGATACTAAGGTTTCGGCAAAATATCTGAAATTACTGCTAGATTGAAAGCATTGAAGTCAAAGAACAGTATATATTAATAGGAGGGCCGCAAAAAAGAAGGTAACTGAACTAGATCAAGGGTTTAAATGCTCTTGCTGCTTTGGCTGCCAGAAAATTTGGTTCCTCCTTTGTCAACCTGATAGAAGATGGACTATTTAACCATCATGAAAGCCTTTTGCTTCAACTGTGAAATCTCATCCTTCGAATCCGTACTAAAATTATGCATTCTATTTTATTCAGGTAATTGCAGAAAACCTCTCCGAAGAAGAAATCATTGGTTTAAGGAAATGTTCAAATCCATGGACACAGATAACAGTGGAACAATAACTTTTGATGAATTAAAAGCTGGTCTCCACAAACTGGGTAGTAAACTTTCTGAGCCTGAAATAAGGCAGTTGATGGAAGCGGTAAGATTTTTTTCTTTTTTATTGTAGCATTATGGTGCTTCCAGAAGATCTGATCTCCGCTAATATTCATTTGAGAAGAATGTCTGATTGGAGGTAAGATCACACCCCTATTTCTGAAGCTTTTTTTGAATGAAAAGCTGCATCATTAATCAAAAAAGATATTTATGATCAATCTCATCTTTACTCTCTCCTTTCACCATCAAACCTCATTATGGATGATCAAAGGTACACCAAATCTCCATAGAAGAATGTCCCAAGTTGGCTAGAGTATCAGCTTGAAAATTTCATTCTCTACAAACACAGTTATAAGAAACATCCCATTCGCTGTACAATAAATTCCTAGCTTTCTCAGAAGGCTTACAAGTAGGATGACTTTCCGCGTTATCCCTCTTAATCAGATTAAAGCCTTGGGCACTGTTAACTTTAATATTTCTAAGACCCATATTGCGGCAGATATTCAGACAAATGGTAATGGCTTTTATTTCCGTAATGGTTGGAGGCATTGTCATCACTTTGCTGCACAAACCTTTCAGTCATGTTCCTTCTGTGCTCCGTATAATTCCTCCGCAAGCACTGTTATCATTATGCATGACAGAACCATCCACTTGAAGCTTGACGTAGTTTTGCTGGCTATTCCTTTTTATCCCACTTTCGTTGCTCTTTCTTCTCATACTGTTGCAGCTAAACAGTATTCACCTATCTTGTTGATCTTTACAATAGCTTGCTATCTTGTTAATAGCCTCCTCTGAACCATTTGTCTTAAACAAGGCATTGGAACGTGTGATCCAAATATCCCAAAAAATATATGCATAAAGCGTGCTCCATGGGATCTGGTTTATGTCACTGCACCCTACTTCATTATCAAGATTTCACTTTACCCATTCTATCCATAATTCAGGCATGATAAACATCTGCCCTTTTTCTTCTTCTTTACAATCTTGAAACAGTGCAGCACAGTTTCTTCAGCATCGCAACCCCTTAGACATTGATTAGTATCCAGTAGGCCTCTTCAATATCTAAGAGAAGTTGTGTGTACTGTTTCATGTGTCATGAGCCAAAGTAATGGCTTGTATTTCTCCAGAACTTTCAGCTTCCATGATTTTTTTCTCCTGTAGAACCTGTTCCTTTCACTTTCACCTGCACTCAAAAACAAATAACAGATTTTACAGTGCAGTTACCATCTGAGGGTGGTTTCCATTTGGACTTTGATCTCTCTCATGGTTTTCGTGCAAGTAATGGCGTTCACAACATGAGTAGGTAACCAGAACCTCAGCTTGGGTCTATTCCAATCCCCAGAAGGAAGAACCTCTCTCACTTTTTCTTTGGTAACCCGCAATCCAATCCCCACAGGACGCAGAAGAAAGATAATTGCAAGAAGTAAAATGCTAAGGGTCTGTTTGTTTAAGCTTAAAAAATAATTGATTTTTAGAAGGTTCAAAGATTTTATGAAAAGCAAATTATTTTATAGAGATTCTGATAAAAGCAGAAAGTTTTTAATATTTGGTTACAATTATGAAAAAGTGATTATTATTTAATTATTTGTAGATATTGAATCTTTTCCATTCATAAAAAAACCATTTGAATTATTTGGAGTATTTCCATTCCAAAGGTAGCTTCTCAAAATGAATAGAAATCTGCCTTTTTCATTCCGATTATTTTCAAAAGCTTAAACAACCACTGTAGAATTTCATAAACAAATGGGCCCTAAAGGACTCAAAAAGTTTGACCTGAAGCAAGAAGTATATCAGTTCATTCATGGAGATGATTGCAAAATGTACATTTTGATCTGAGATATGTTCTGACATACTTATGCACACTACTGATCTTCTGTAGCATTGGAACTATTTTATTTCAGGCCCATAACTGGTTAACATTTGATTATTAGTCGCTCTAAATATTTTGCTTAAATATTCTTCTGAACTTGTATTATTTTATTTACTCGGATAACTTGTTGATATGTGAACTTTTGATCTTACTAGTCCATTTGGGTCAGTATAATATCTTTCATGGCTAAATCACTTTTCAGCTTGCTTCCTGCATCTAATCTCCTCTGTCCGTTGTCAAGATCTTGAGTTAAATGCAAACTCATTAATTTTATCTACTGTCTTCTTGTCATCTTCTGTAGCCAAACCTAGCCTTGCGAATTTTTAGACATAATGGTCTGTGCATCAGTGTGCTGCCACTATAGAGCCACTTCAATTTCCAATTATATTGTATGATCTATACATAAAACAAAGTAGAAAGGATGTGAATATTATCTCTAGTGCTGCTTGATAATGTGGTTATTAGTCTTGTGATGGTTTTTCAATATGTCAATGTAACATATTTTTCTGGTTTTCAGGCTGATGTAGATGGAAATGGAGCCATTGATTATATTGAGTTTATATCGGCTACCATGCACATGAATCGAGTGGAAAGAGAGGACCACCTATACAAAGCCTTTGAATATTTTGACAAGGATAAGAGCGGGTTGATCCAATGTTTTCTTTCATAACTAGCAATTTAGCCAGTCTGACCATTCTGGATTTTGAATGATGTGTTGGTTCTCTTTTTCCTGGCTTCTGCAAATACAGGTATATCACCAAGGAAGAGTTGGAATCTGCCCTTAGGAAGTATAATATGGGTGATGAGAAAACTATAAAGGAGATAATTGCTGAAGTTGACTCAGACAATGTATGCTGTTTTTCTGCTTTAATTCCATTGCTTACATTTATCCTTGCATACCTGGGCAATGATTGGCTATAACTTAGTTCTTGAAATTGCAGCAACGCTAGGGTTATTTATAACCTGTGAAGATATTTGTTGCTGCCCTTTAATACTGTGTCAATCACTTTTCCCATCACACAAACGTATTGTCTGTTATCCAAGAAAAATGAATAAATAATGACCAAAATAAATACAGAAAAGCGGTTCTGTTGAAAATAACAAGTTTTTAATAATAGACAGACTAGATACATGAATATATTAATGGATATCGTCAGGGTCAAGTGTCTTATGTTTTCATTGGACGTTTTTTTTTTCTTGGGGCGAATGTTTTAATTGGACGCGTTAAAGATTATAATTGAGGTCATAGAACTGTAAACTTCATGCTAGGTAGTAGTGGTGGAAAGAAATTAAACAGAACTGAATTCTTTAATTCTGGAAGCATTCTAGGTATAGATTATTGTTGATGTCTTTTAGCCCTCTGGCAGTATTATCTAATGACGTGACATTCTCTCCTTCTGATTGGTGGCTATCATTCATATTTTGTTAAATTATAGATATAGACGTTCATAAAGGAACTGTTTGGTGCCTTGATATCTTCATATTCTCTAATATTTACTTGTCTGTTATGGCAAATGAAATTTGTAAAAGAAGGCGAGTAAATGTTATTCTATAAAAGCATATATAAGAAATAATGTTTTATGAATGTCATATCTCTAGTTTTTTAAAGGGCGCTTTATTTCACCTAAATGGCGTGTCATCTGTCCCTTGATATTGTATGCCACAAGATGTTTTGGATATCAATATATCAAATACAACTAATTCAGTTGTCTCCTAATTTATATGTGAATAGAATCTAGCTTTTGTTATTCATGTACTGTTCCTAATGACTTTGTCAATCCATAGTGTCAATGGATAATATTTTTTAGATTTTGTTTTGTAGTATTATATATGCATATACATGTTAACCGTATATATTGGATAGCCATTGTGAATAGTGATGAATAATAAAAATTAGATTTGTGTGTGTGTGTGTGTGTGTGTCTCTCTCTCTATTGGGAGAAAATAACTGCCAGTGGCATGTTGCCACAATGCAACCAACACTTCCCCGATTGAGGGGATGTTGCAGGTTTGATGCCATGCAAGTGAGTGTGTTTCCCAGTTGTTCCAAGCCGAAAAGAAAAAGGAAAATAGTTGGCACTATTCTCACAACAATAATTTTAAGCAGTATGCAACTATTTTTTTCCCTTTATTTTTCTGTCTATATTTGTTGTTAACTTTTTCTTTTGAAGGTTTACTTTACATATTCTCCATTGCAATGGGAAAATTATTCTAGTTTTGAGTATAACATGATGATGATTGTGTTCTTAACAACCCCATAGTCCTGTGAAATTATCTCTCTGCAAGGCGGCTAATTCTCAGCTTTGTCGCAGGATGGAAAAATTAACTACGAAGAGTTCGTAGCCATGATGAGGAGAGGCAACCCGGACTTCGCAAACAACAGACATCGTTAATAAACTCAGCTGGAATTGCCTGTCTTCACGCAGATTCAATACGGTATTAATCTGAACACTCGCGCGCCATATAGCTTGTGGTTCTTCTTCTGGGACCATTTTATTCATATCTATTATGTGCTCACCTTCACGGTGGCTGAGTAAACGATGATTGTGTGTAAATTTGAGAAATAGATAAAATTCTTCTTTCTGCAGCTTAAAGAGTGAGCAAAAGATTACGTCTTCAAGTCTGTCTTCTTGTAATTACATTTTGGTTATTTGTTCACTAACCAACCATCACTCAGGATGCTACGCAAATACAGCTCTGTAGATACTCTGTTTTCTCGATATTGGTTCTTTGGTTATTAGATTTATTTTGAGATTTTCATGTTTCACTGTTACATTAAAAAAAACTAGGTGAATATTAAAATAAAAATATATCTAATAATAAAGAAATTTGAGCTGTAGAATTATATTCTCTTCTATATTCTAGCTACTGCGTAATGTTACTGTAGAAACGGCTGTGACCAGTTGCATCATGAAAAATTAATGTGGTGCTGCTATTATCTTTCTAGTTGTAGTACTATTTACGTTTTTTCTAATACACGCACGCGCAAATCTATAAAATAATGTAACAAATTTTATTAAAAATTTGACCCTGCTCATCATTGACCTGGGAATTTTTAGTTTGATTTCTATAAGCTTTAAGGTGTGTTTGGTTTAACAGAGGAAAGGGGAGGGGAAGGATTTTAATAGAAGGGAGAGAAGGAGAGGGAATGGGAGAGATTTCAATAATTAAAAAAAAAAAAAGAGGAAGGGATTTTAGTGTTATTTTGTTTGGTTAAGTAATGAAGGAGAGGTTTCAATAACTAAAAAAAAAAAGAGGAAAGGGATTTTAGTGTTATTTTGTTTGGTTACGTAATGAAGGAGAGGTTTCAATAACTAAAAAAAAAAAAGAGGAAAGGGATTTTAGTGTTATTTTGTTTGGTTAAGTAATGAAGGAGAGGGCTATTATCAATAAAAAATAAAAAAGAAAGAGAGGGTTGAAATTTTTTTATGGACGATTTTATCCTTATTTTTTTAAAGTTATTTTTCAAATTTTATAAAATATAACTATAAATGATATTTAATATATAAATTTAAAATTATATAATTATCAAAATTGAATAAATATAGTTATATTTCATAATTAATGATTAATTATATACAATACTTGTATATATAAAGTTATATTTTATAATTATATTCATAATTACACTATATATAGAAATTCTATAATAGAATGATAATTATTCTTCAAAATGAGTCGCAAAGGGTCCCACAAACACAGTGATGGAGATGATGAGGCTGTGGGAGATGGAGAGGAGGAAAATAACACTGCTGGGTCAAAAAGTGCGAAGAAGAAGGGAAAAGATTCTCTGGACAATCTTTCCACGTATGGGATACAACACGGATGAAATTCTAAACGGATGAAAATTCTAGTTAGTTGACAGCGTTTAACATCAAATAGGTTTACTTTTTTTACACAAAAAAGGACAAAGTTATTCTTTTGATTGTAAATTTAAGACTTATTTTTAAGCATAACATTTAGGACTGGAGGAGTAACATTTAAAACCCTAACGTTATTTTCTTGTAACATTCAATATTCTAATCTTATTTATGATCTACATGTGGTGCATCTAATATTTTTGATGTTATTTTTCCCTATTGTTACTTTTTGTTTACATTTAATATTTTACTTTTATTTATGATTTGGAATGTTTCGTGTGCTAGATGCATCATAAGTAGTACTACCTCCGATCCTAATTATAAGATCCAGTTGACTAATTTGAGGAGATTAAGGAAGTAAGTTAAATTAGTTATTTGTAACAAATAAGCGTTGTCATTCCTAAAATATCCTTACTAATTAAGTGTGTTAGTTAGAACTATCATTATTAGAAGGACTATCTTGAGAAAAAATGTATAAATACGAGAGACAAAATAGATTTGGGTCTTATAATTAGGACCAAATTAAAAGTCAAACGGGATTTTATATTAAGGAGCGGAGGTAGTATTAGATGTAATTGGGAAATATTATCTTACCAAGAGAAAATATTGTACACAAATAGATACAAGAAGCAGAGAAATCAAATTGCGAATAGGAGTGATGTATGTGTACAGTTGAAGCAACTCATTGTGGGGCTTGCCTGTGTTGTCGTGCTTCATCCACTTCAAGCAACTTGCCCTGCAGACGCAACGCTCACTACCAAACACAGAAATCATCACAAAGTGAGGTTCAGTTCAGGCGCACTCGCACTGCCATTGGTTGCCGCCTTCCGTGTCACGTGCAAGTCCCAGGCAGCTATATCCGGGAAAAGAAAAAAGAAAGTAATTACAAAGTCCGTAGCCTCATAATACAGGATAGGACGTTGTTGAAAACAGAAACAAGAGAAATGCGGAAAGCGACATTATTCGCAAATATTGGGTTCTGTGACTTACTTCCGGGTGCGTGGATGATTGCCCAAATCATGATTTAAAAAAAAAATTACTCAAACACCCATTAATTTTTTAAAACCATATTTTTATAATAAAACTATGGTTTGTCTATCAAAACCAAGGTTTTGTAATAAACAAAAAAATTTTGCTTTTTGAACAACTCTCCTCCCTACAGTAATCTTTTTTTGGTTGAAAACAATTATTTATTTTTCTAAAAACATAATCTGATATTTTATAATTATATATACACATATTAACAATTACTACATCTTGTCTTTAATATAAGATCTCATTTGACTTTTATTTGGTTCTAAATATAAAACTTCAATCTATTTTATTTTTCATATTTATCTATCGTTTTTCAAGTTATAACTAATAAACTTGATTAATAGGGATATTGTAGGAAATGCAACACTTATTTATTACAAATAACTAATTTAACTTATTTTTTTAATTTTCTCAAATTAGTCAACTAGCTCTTATATTTAGAATTGGATATAGTAATTAATATATGTTTTTTTACATTGTTTATTATGTTGGCAAAAAAGAAATTAACAAATTTATTATTCCGGTCTTTAGTGTAAGACCTAATTGGAAAGTTAATATTAGTCTTAAATGTAAGATTATTATTCTGGTCATTAATGTAAAACCTAATTAGAGAGTTAATACGTAGACAAGGTCTTAAACTTTTATTGAAGGAAAGCTTCGACCAGACTAGTAATATGTAGTTTAAAAAAAAAAACTTATTATAAATGTTCCATATCGATGCAACATCTTAATTATTACATCACTTTTTTATTGATTTTTCTATAAATATATTTAATCTTTTTTTTAATAAATATATATATTAATTATTTATTAATTATATTTTCTTATATATTATTAATTATGTTGGTTAAAAATATATTATTAACAATTTTATTTCTTCAAATTAAAATATATTATAAAATTTATCTTTTATGTAATTATCATATTTGTATGCCTTTTTTAGTAATTTGTGTATATGAAAAGTGCTTTTAACAACAACTATCCAAACACTCTCACTTTATCAGAATCATTTTTTCAGAAAATCTATTTTTTTCAGAACCTATTCTTCTTAGAATCTATTCTCTAAAAGTTATTTTTCAATCATAATTTGGTTTCATCCAAACGTCCCATTCATGATACTAGCGGTTTATGATATTTGATGCCGCCTCTCCTGCAAAATATAATAAACTAGTACTTTCAACCGCTATCTTCGTATTGAAGAAGGGTTAAACCAGAGAGCATACAAGTTGATCTGACTGTGGAGCCACCTGGGTCTCTGAGAGCAGATTTATATACACACACATACACACACTACATCTTATGTTTAATACAACGACTAGTTCATTAATTTAAATAGATTAAAAAATTAATTAAATTAGTTATTTATAATAAATAAGTATTATCTTTTGTAAAATATCTTTACTGATAATATGTATTAGCTAAAATTACTATTTGATGAAATATTTAATATGTATAATTATTATAAGGATGACGTTAAAAAAAATAAATGTGAAAGAAAAAGTGAATTTAAATCTTAAATTTAAAACCGAATTGAGTGTGAAATTAACTTTTATTTCAAGAATAAGAGGTAATACTATCCTATTACACACTCAAATACGACACACATACTTTCTCCAGATCACATGGAAGTGCTCCTTCTACATGGATTCAGTGGTTAAAGGACTGGACAGGCTCACCAAAAAAAGCGAGATTGTTGGCAGAGGCATCTCATACTTGGATAGAGCACGGGATTTGGAGCTAATTCCCGCATGGTCAATGGTTTACTTCAACCTATGACCTAGGCTCAGTAAGGTTACACAAAGGGCGGTGTGTGCCAGCGATTAAGTTGTGTAGCCGAAGCTGGTGAGTGGACTAAACCTCAGACTAAAATTTTGAAAGAATTACAATGGGATCTTAAAAAAAAAAAAAATTACAAAGTAAGTCTTAAATGTTATTGTTTTCTATCTTAAAACTTGTTATTACAGTTGCTTAAGTTATTATTAAATTTTTTTAGTAATTATTTTTTCTTAAAGACTTTATTATAATTTTGACTAAAATTTTTGCAAAAAATAAAAAATATTACATGGGGATTTCAGGCGTCTGTGTTTGAGCCACTCTCGTAATACAGCGCGGTTCGCATTGGAGGTCGTGGCTCTATTTACTAGTACCTCATAGGTACAGCTACTCTTGTCGTCATTCCTGTTCTGTCTTCCTTCCCTGCTTCCCCAGTTGCTCCCCACCCCGCAGATCAAGGGCAGCAGCACCTCCCATACCTCACCCACTGATTTGGATTCCTTTATTCCCTGTCAATGAAGATAACGAAAGATTTCTAGGAAATAAAATAAAATAAATTTAGTATAGATTTTTTTTTTTCCCCCTTTCACACGACTAATATGCATGCACACATCCATTATGTCAGTACACCGCTGATGAAGCCTACAATCTTTCCTTGTGTTTCTTTTTATGACTCTTTCTGAGGATTTTGTTTCTATTTATACTTTTCATTATTTTAGAAGTTGAAAATGCAAAATCTATTATTATTTGCTATCTTTCTTGTCATTCACTATTATTTTTTAATAAGTAAAAAATATCGGCTTACTAAGATAGTTTTCTCCATTTTCTTTAAAAACTGCCTAATGCACTACTAGAAAAAAGATTTTTTAGACCAATTAAAATGGTTATTCTACACTTAAGTTATACTCGATTTTAGAAGTTTTTACTTTTTACCTGTTTTACAACTAGGGAAGAAAAAGTAACTTTTACACTAGTTATGTTGCCCACCAGTATACCTATTCGAAATTTTATAAAATAAGGTCAACTTCTAAGACCGGTTATATTTGTTATACATCGTTTAACAAGGGGAGTTTTTTTA